TCCTTTGCGGGGGAGTGAGGAGTACGAAGAAAAGTCTGCATGAATCAGCCTGAGGAGGTTCCCATTGCTAAACCTCGCAACAACACAAATAAAATGAACACGACTAAAAACGAATATCGGGAAGGGGTTGGAGGGGGGGGGGGGGGGCAAGTTGTGTGGAGCAACGAGGTGGTTATTTGGGCATGTTGGTCCATGGTCTTGAAACGTATAAAAGCGCCAAAAGCAACGAAGACGAAATGAGACAAACCATACGCATTATTCTCCCCCTTCACTGTTGTAGATGCTCCTGTCTGCCGGTGTTGCATGATGTGAAGATTCTTGACAGGTGTAAAGATAAAACGAGCAGAGTACTACATGACGCAATTCAGTATTCAGGCTAAGTAAGGTTAAAAATTGTGTGAGTGAGGCATCAATCCCCCTTCCAAATAGAGTTTGATTTTATGCTGTGCGCCGATGTTATGCTTAGTGATGGACCGAATCTGCCTAACTTCAAATTCGGAAAGTTCGGCAACTGCAAAACTTTCGAAGGAAAGTTCGGCAAAGATTTGGCGAATATTCGGCAAACCTCCGCGAACGTGCGAGAACACGAAAAGTGGACGCCGTGCGGTCATGTCTGTTGTGTTGCTGCCGACGCAGCCGAAGTGACACTCTCCAGTACCGGTGCAGAACAACCTTATCTTTATTCGTGCCTGCTCTTTTATAACCCTCGCGATAGTGGCGCTGCCACAACAGTTCCCCCCCTCAAGAAAAGAAAAATGACAGGACAAAAAAATATTTAGATTCAAGATAACACAACCACGAACACTTAATATAACACAAAATCGTCCAGTCTTCGAGGCCTTGATGTCTGCCTGGCAGATCTCCGTAGTCCTGATGGGGCGACAGATGACTCCGATGACGGTACCGCTCTCTCCGATGTTGTGCGAGGTGACTGTCGTGCAACTGGGAACGGTGTCTCGGGAACATCTTGCGATGTCGCGTGCGGTGACTGTGGGAGCGCGACCCTGGGTGCCGGTGGTGCCCTTGGTGAGGATGAGGTCGCTAATGGTGCTTCAAACCATGGCAAACAGGGCAACCTGCGGGGATGACTGATCGTTGGACCTCACGAGCCTCCGCCGGTTTTATACCCTGCCGTCCTGGGGAAGGTACGCGTCTTTTCCCTGGTGCTCCACCACCTTTTTGGGCGCCGAGTAGCTGGTGCTGCCTTTTGAAACGTTACCCGGCAGTTTGATCCGAACACTCTCCCCCTGCTTGAACAGGCTGGCCTTGGCTCCACGGCTGTTGTTCGTGTATGCCTTGGACTTTCGTTGGTACTGGGCCACCCGTTCTCGTAGCCCTGCAAGACTTCTTGTCGGGTTGCTAAAGAAGTCTCTGGATGGTCCACCCACGATGTCCAGCTTCGTCCTGGGGTGACGCCCGTGTAGCAGGAAGGCTGGTTTCTCGCCTGTTGCTGCGTGAGGAGTACAACGATAGACGCCAAGATGTTCTAGCACGGCGTCCTTCAGAGGACGCTTGCTGCTCTTGTATACTGAGTTGCACAAAGTCTTTGAAGACACGGTTAAAACGCTCGATCTGGCAATTGCTCTGTGGAATATGATACACTGAGGAAAAGGTGTGCTTCACTCCACGCTCCTGCAGGAATGCTTCGAACTCGGCCGAGACGAACTTAGGCCCGTGATCACTGACCAGTTCGGTGGAGTAGCCCTCGCGGCTGAACACCGACCGTAGAAAGGCAATTATTTTTCCTGGCGTCACCAAACTCGTCAGGCGCACCTCCGGCCACTTGCTGAAATAGTCAATTAAAGTGACAGCATACCGACAATCGCTTGGCCGTCTGGAAAACGGTCCCACGATATCCACACCAAGTGTCTCCCACGGAGCAGACGGGAACTCGGCCGGATGTAAAGGAGGCACGACCGGTTTTGCTGATTTGTCGACTGCTTGACAAAAACTGCAATACTTGACGGCCGTCTCAATGTGCCTGTCCACGCCAGGCCACCAATACGTGTCGCGCACACGCTGTTTGGTTCTTGTAATCCCAGGATGAGCCTTGTGCGCAAGCTCCATTATCTTCGCCGTAAGAGCGGTCGGAACCACAGCACGATCTCCCCTAAACAACAGGTCTTCACTCATGGAAAGTTCTTCCGTCACTTGGGAGAATGGTGCCATGTCTGGAGGCAACTCCTTCTTCCGTGGCCACGTACGTGCTAGTTGTCCACGCCACCACCTGCTGCAGACGGCTGTCGTCCAGAGTCTCTTTGGCAAATTTCTGCTGCGATACACACAGCGAAATAGCGCACACAACCTCATCATCACACGGTGTTTCGTTAGGTCCTTCCAGAGGCATCCGTGAAAGGGCGTCTGCCACAAAGTTGTCCTCTCCTTTCTTGAAAACCATGCTGAAACTGTATTCAAGCAACCGAGCATACCACCTTGCCATCCTAAAAGGGCGCTGGCCAGTTCCCTGAGAGTTCAACAGTGTCAGCAGTGACTGATGATCTGTTTGGAGCGTAAAATGGCGACCCCACAAGAAAACACGCCAATGTTCGCACGCCCACATGCAGGCCAACGCCTCCCGTTCTCCCGCAGAGTACTTACGCTCTTGCAATGTCAAAGTTCGGGATGCAAAAGAAATGGTCACCAGGTCTTCCCCTTTCGTCCGTTGCAGAACAGCTCCAAGGCGTCGGTCGTCACGTCCACGGGTAGCTTGGGGTAGAACATCTGAAGTGGCCTACAGGAAAGCAGAGACTTCAGCCGCTGAAAACTTTCTTCCCGAACTGCTGTCCAGCAGAAGGGTTCTTCCTTGCGTAGAAGTTCTCGCAATGGTTCCGCCAACTCCGCATACCGTGGAATAAACTTCGCATAATAGCCGACCATACCCAAGAATGAACGTAGCATGGCTTTGCATGGGCAACACCCCCCGTTCACTGACGACGTGTCTTGGGAACGTGAGTTCGCGAACGTTGAAGATGCATTTGTTGTTCAACCTCAAGCCCGCTTCGTCGATGCGGCGGAGGACTTCGTGCACATTTCTGAGATGCTCTTCCTCCGTTTCACCAAAAACAATGATGTCGTCCAGGTAGCAGAGAACTTTCTTGCACCCCTTCAGGATTGTAGTCATCATCTTTTGGAATGCAGCAGGAGCAGAGGCCAATCCGAAGCAAACCCTGGTGAAACAAAAAAGACCCTCATGTGTGAGGAACACCGTTAGGTCTCGGCTTTCTTGACTCAGGACGAGCTGGTGGTACGCGCTGGATAAATCCATCTTCGAAAAGTACCTTGCCCCGACGAGCGCTTGAAGCAGTTCCTCCGTGTGAGGCAATGGGAAACTGTCCACCACAACAGCCTTGTTCACTTCCCTCAAATCGACGCAATGTCGTACCTTTCCATCCTTCTTTTTCACTGCAACGATCGGCGATACCTATTCCGAAGCGTCAATTTTCTCCATAATGGTCGCGCCTGTAAAAGTCGTTGGAGCTCTCTCGAGACCTCGTCTCTGACAGCAAAAGGAAGTCTTCGCAACTTGACAGACACGGGTTCAACTCCCTGACTCGTCTTCGCTGTGTGAGCGAATCCCTTCGCAGTACCGAGCGTTCCGTCGAACAGATGAGCAAATTTCCCAACCAGCTCCGGAGGCAGGCCCGAATTCACGCATGTAGTGTTGAAACACCTCAATGCCTGACTACTGATTTCGAGGGACAAGCAAGCGACGGCGTCGATTTCAAGTACGAGGGTGGTCCGATAAGTACTTAGACTACAAAAGAAAAACGAAAATTTTGGAAAAGTGGCGATTTATTTTTCTCTATAGTCACCTTTTAGTTCGGTGCACTTGACCCAGCGATGCTCCAACTTCTTTAACCCATCTGAAAAATATGTTTTCTCGAGGTCTGCAAAATAGGGTTCCGTGGTGGTGATAACCTCCTCATTTGACTCAAATTTCTGCCCGGCGAGTGACTTTTTCAAGTTTGGAAACAAAAAGAAGTCGCACGGGGCCAAATCTGGAGAGTACGGTGGATGGGGCAGAAGTTCGTAGCCCAATTCAACCAATTTGGCCGTGGCGAGGGCGGAGGTGTGAGCCGGTGCGTTGTCATGGTGGAAGAGCACCTTTTTCTTCGCCAAATGGGCCGTTTTTTCTGCAATTCGGTGTCCAATTGGCCCAATAATTCGGCATAGTACAGCCCTGTGACTGTTTTGCCCTTCTCCAGGTAGTCGATGTAGATCACACCGTGTGAATCCCAGAAAACGGTGGCCATCCCCTTTCCGGCCGATAGAACAGTCCTCGCCTTCTTCGGAGCACGTTCGCCGGGTAAAGTTCACTGTTTTGACTGTTCCTTGGTCTCTGATGTGTACCAGTGTATCCATGTTTCGTCGATGGTCGCGAAACGACGCAGAAATTTCTTCGGGTTGCGCTTAAACAGCGTCAAACACTGCTCTCAAGTGGCCTCACGGTTGCGCTTGTTGTCTGGAGTGAGCAAACGCGGCACCCATCGCGCCGACAGCTTTCTCATGCCCAAAATTCCATGCAGGATATGACCCACGCGATCTTCTGAGATGCCTACTGTCTCAGCTATCTCGCGCACCTTCAATCGGCGGTCTGCCAATACGAGATCGTGGATTTTTGTAACATTATCCTCCGTGGTAGCCGTTTTCGGGGCACCTGGGCGTGACTCATCAAAAGCCGACGTGCGACCGCGTTAAAACGCGTTAAACCGATTTTTGACGGTCGCCATCGAAGGATAAGCGTCACCGTACACAGCGTCCAAGCGCTCTTTGATTTCACTGCGCGATTTCCCTTCCAAAAAACAAGAATCGAGCAACTTCTCTGATAGCGCGGCCTTCGTTACCGCGTCCGGCGGTACTCTTGCAAACAGCACGAAAATGTCCGACTTTTCCGCACGCAGCGCACGCTTTGCCTCTTGCTTTACACTTAGCAGAATTCGCGAGATGTCCCGACGACCCGCAACGGTAGCACTTTTTTCCAGTAGACGATGAAGGCTCACCTTCCCGTAAACGCGGTGGTCGTTTGACGTTCAGTGTAATCTTAGCGTCCACCCTTTGCACCGCTGAAAACGATACGAGTTTCTTGGAGTAGCGGACTGCTTCTTCGACCAGACGCCCGATGACCAGCGCCCGGTCCAGCGTGAGACCAGAACCTTCCAGAAGAAGGCGTTCTCGTAGCTGCTGGCTTGAAGTCTTTGCTACCAGCTGGTCTCGGATGAACTCGTCCGCCATGGATCCAAGTTCGCAGTTCGGGCACAGGTCCCGTAGTTCGGCAACAAATGCGTCGATGGATTCCCTGGGGAGCTTTGCTCGCTGCCCGAAGCGGTTTCGTGCCACGACCACATTGGCAGTCGCCGCGAAGTAGTTCTCCAAGGCCGCCAGAGCGACATCGTACTCGTCCGGTGCAGCGGGAGACTGCTTGGCTGCAGGAGGTTCACTGGGTTCCGGTACTGGAGGGAACGTCTCAGGAAGAGTATAAAAGATTCTTTGGCCCTCCACCCCGAGGCAGTGTAAAAGTGGGGCCTTCGTCCGAGCAGGTCCGTGGGCGTCGCCTCCCGTGGCCAGCAGGTAGTTGTTGAACACCCGCCGCCATTGCTTCCATGGAACAGCAGGTTTCCCGGGAGCGGGCAGGAAGGGGGGCGGCACCGCGAGGCTCATGGCTTTGCCTCGTCACCCCGTTGATCCTCGTCGCCACTGTTGTGTTGCTGCCGACGCAGCCGAAGTGACACTCTCCAGTACCGGTACAGAACAACCTTATCTTTATTCGTGCTTGCTCTTTTATAACCCTTGCGATAGTGGCGCCGCCACAACAGTGTCGTTACATCATGTAGTGTAGTACTACCAGCGGTTACGGTGATGTGCGGAGTAGGCGACGTTTTAACTTTGTTTGTCAACCTTTGTGAGTGTGGTTCTCTTCAATATTTTCTGCCTCAAGAGCAGAAGACCGACCAGGTATTGACGCCGTCCACTGCACAAGTGACAAACGATGAGCACATTCTGGATAACGTGATCTTCATTTGATATTTCCAGTGATGCAAAGAGGAGTTGCAACATTGACTGACAACCTCTGCCCGATTGTCCCCAGCTGTGCTAGTTGTGCATCATTCAATTTTTCCTAGATAATTTCCACGAATATTCAAATCACCTCTTTGCGACTGTAATCCTTTTCTCTTCCGTCCTTTCATCGTCGTCAGCAAAACGCAGGGCCCAGGCCAAATCTGTTACCCCTTCAGGGAGGGCAGGTCGAAGCCCCGTGCACTTCAAAACCGAGTGCTCTAGTGTCTGGCTCTCATTATGACAGGCGGCATATAATGTGTCTGTCTCCTGAAATTTAGCCCTATATGTCCTCGTCCTCGAAATTTCCGTTCGCGCCTCAAACAGTAAAGAACTTGCCAGTGAATTGTCATACATATTTTCCTTTCTTATGTCCTGTTTTGGTGACCTGTACATTGTTAGAGCGGATTTTTCCTGCATTCTTACCTCCAACATTCTTTTTCTGCCTTTTTCACTCCCTTTTACGCTGTAGTATTCTGCTCAGCCCCATCACTAGTGTGTAAGTATTTAATTGTAAGCTTTCGGGTTTGGTTTGTTCATTTCGTGTTTAAACTTTTCACGTATAAATACTTGAACACCTTCCGTGCCCACCGCATATCATCCATTTCGGTCAACCTTTGTTGAAATTTCCACTTACTAATTGCCTCCCTGCTCTCAAAAGACGACCATCCCAAGTTCCCCTGTACTTTCTCATTTGGTGTCCTTCCATGTGCTCCCAGTGCCCATCTGCCTACGCTTCTTTGTCGAATTTCCAATCCTGATTGAACCTTTGATTTCATGCATAGTACCCCAGTGCCAAAAGCCAGTTTTAGTACCATATGTTTTGGAGCTCTCCCAGTTTTTGTATATCTTCTGCCCGTTCCTCTATTCTCCGCTTTACTATCTGCATGGAACTAAAGTTACCATTATTGGCGTTTAGGACTCAATGTTGTTTTAGTTTCCTCTGCATTTCTATATTAGTTTCATTTTTCTTGGTTTCCATCACTGGGTACATTTCCTCCCATAATTATTTGATTAATCACAGGCCTTAACTTCAATTTGCTTGTTTTTCATAGTGTCTTAAAGGAGTCATGAAACGCTTTTTCAACTTTTTTCTGTTTAGCTTTCCTCCTCAACTCATAAATCGCGCATTGTACCAAACAGTTCAAGAAGTCGGAAAGGGGGGAGTCCCCTCTTGCTCGGAATCTCGCTTGTGTAGCCGGACACAGCCATTGTCCCCCTAGAAGATTAGCCCGTCGCTCAAAATTCCGACTATAATAGTTGCTTTCCCCACCCCGTTCACCCCGAAGCTGACAGTGCTGTCGAAGCTACGTGCTCGTTGGGCCAGCCACACATTTTCCTCGTGATCATGCTCTCTCGCGCATACCGGCCCGCAGAGAATGAGGTCAGGTGATGAAAGAGAGGCGGCTGATTGGTCCGGCAAGCGCGTAGCTTCCACCGCAATGTCAGCTTAGGGGTAAAGGGATTAAGTGAGGTCCGGTGTCGTGTGACGTGCGCTTGGGCCCTGGTGACGCGCTGCGGGGGCCCGGTTATTTTGGCTAGTAGCCCGGTGACGCGCTGCGGGGTCCGCGGATGTATCACAGTGAAAAGGCGGAGAGTTTACGAAGGGAAGGAGGTACGAAATAGTTCGCTATGTCTTGCAAATTTTCGTAGCGAAACTCAGGCTTCTGACTTTCTACCTTTGTCTTTTTGGCCCACTGAACGATGTGCTATTAGTAAAATCCCAATATAAATTGATTTACTCCAGCCCAAAATTTGTTTCATGGGTCCTTTAATGAGTTCCATGGGTATGTCGTCTGGGTCTGTCGCTGTACCTGCTGGAGCCTTACTTTCTGCCTTATCCCAATCTCTTTTGGTCGTCTCCATAGTTAAACAATTCTGCTGCTTTACACTACCGCTGTCACTGCTATCCACTGTCCTCCTCTGCTCAAACTCGGAAAAGGTCTACTCGATTGTCTGCCTAATATATTCCCGTGCCTCTTCCCCAGCTACTCTTCTCCCTTCCTGTGTGGTAAGTATGTGTTGGAAACCCTCTGTCTTTCTTCCCTGCGCTTTAATGAGCTCCCAAAACTTTTTTGCCACCTTCCTGTCTTTATTTATTTCCATCATCCACTGCAGTAAAGTGGTAAGCTGGGCGAGTTGGTAAGCGTTGAACATGAAAGGTCGCGTACAAAGAGACAAGGACAAAAGAGGAAGGAACACAGGACACAGACAGGCGCGTACTCACTACTCTGGTATATTAGGTGGAAGGAAGGATGAATCATGATTCACGACAGGGGACCCCGGCACCAGGGGGATACAGTTCAGTCACAGTCAAATGACCGCAGAAAGGCAACTTCTTTTTCGTTCAAAGCGACCGACGGCTGACTAACGCAGCGATCGGCCAAACTCGAGATGGTAAACGCCTAAAACACATCGCGCGTTTTTTTTTTTTTGAAGCGCTTAATGATTGTAATTATTTTTAAAGATAGTGAGCACGTATAGGTCTTACAATGCACCGAATGCCTGTACAGCCGTGCGAAAAAACTCCTGACTGCTACTGGTAGACTCGAGGAAGGTTAGGAAACAAGCTCAAAGTCTTTGCAACAGCTTGCCGTTGCATCAGTTGGCTGCCAAGATAAAAAGGGAAGACGTTTACAATTCCCTGTAATGCCGAATTAGAGCGCAGCTCTTGAGGAGGAGGAGGGGAGAGTATGCCCCTCCTCCTCCGTACCCTCTCCTCCCCCTCCTCTCTTCCACTCCTCCTCCTTCCCTTCTCCCTCGTGACGTCACTCGTGACCCTCATGACGTTACGCGCAACCTTTGAGGCCTTCACGAGTGACCTTCGTAATGTCACTCGTGACGTCACGGAGGTCACTGAATTGTGTGGCCTTCGTCGTGACCTTCACGAGTGACCTTCGTGACGTCACTCGTTGCTCTCGTGACGTCACGTGTGACGTCATTATGGGAAACGTCCCATAATGCAACGCGCGGTTACGCCGACGGCGACGCCGCTCAAGCCGGGAACGGGCGCCTTAGAGGGCTACTGAACTGAAATTTCGAGCTCACAAAACAAGGCTGGAGGGATGGGCGGGGCGCTGCAAAACCCCAAAACGTCACTCATATGGCGATATTTCTAACGGATCGCAGTATTTTTAAAAAAGAAGTGCGCTGCTGTACACGACCGACGAGGCCGACGAGACAAGTCACGTCACGATTCTCATTCCCTCTCCTCCTCGCTACGTCCCGTCGGGCTGGTGAACCGAAGTGAGGAGGAGAGACGCGAGGTCGCTTCCCCTCATTCTCAACTTCTGCCGTAGGACAATGACGTCAAAGACCTCGCTTGATCGCGCCCACCTTTTCCAAAAGTACGGCCATCCGTTCGAGATAATCAATCTGAGTTGTTTTGGAGTTCGTAGCGTCCCGTTCAACGCTTCTGCGGCCTTATTTTGCGAAATCCAAATTTCGGTTAAGTATCCCTTTAAGGCCGGTTCACACATGCAGCGAAGCGCTGATGCAGCGCCGCTCACGCGTCGTAAGCTGCTTATCGTTTGCCATGAACAACAGTTTTGACGGTGCGATACAAAGCTGGTGAACGCTGTCGTCTGCACGCGCTTAGCGCGAGGTCTGAAAAGCTGCACTCTAAAAAACCGAAGGACTGCACTTGGAGGTCTACTACCAAAACACACAAAAAAGCCTATCCTTTCCGAGCGATAGTCACTGAGAGGGGCACATGGCAACGGCACATGTCGGCCTATCTCCAAAAAAACATCTCTCCGGTTTGCGGATTGAGAATCCCTTTTCGGTTAAGAATTCTGACTGTTGTTCAAACCTTAATGACATGTATTTTCCAATCACAGTTATTTAGCGTAGATGTACAAGACCTTTTCTATTACCTTTTTCATAAGCCTTTACTTAGCTCAGTCAGAGCCCGCATTGAATCCCAAGACAAACTTTCTTTCCGGAACTCAAGTGGGGTGACAACAGACAGTTTTCTTCAACTGCTGCAATTTTATTTAGATCCCACAATCGTCGGATGGTAAAACGCAATATTTTTACAAAGATCAGGGATATGTATTGGTTCATCTGTCACGCAAGTCTTGAGTAATATTTTTCTTGCGAGAATCGACCGTGCTATTGCTTTAGCTATTGAGTTCGAACCAGTTTCCAACGTGTTCAGATATGTAGATGATCTTTTTTCTTTACTGCACAAAAAGACCGCGGTTTAAGATGTAGTTAGTATGATTATGGCATTTTTCAAATGTGCGGTTTTGGGATCACTTTTGAGAAGCCTATATCGCAGGTGAAAATGTAAAGTGGTATTTCAAGTGGTACCACTTGCAAGCCAAGTGGTACCACTCCTCAGGTGGTACCACGTGGGTTGCAAATAATGCCACATGAGCTTCAAGTGGTTCCATTTGGGTTGCAAATGGCAACAGTTTGCAAAATCACATATTTCACTAATAAAATAAATGAAAGCTGTTGCTCCAAGTTTAATCTACAAAACGTTTCAGGTGTCTTAAATATGTTGCTTTTAGTTACAAAAAGCCAAGATCAGAGGCAATGAATGTTAAGATTTGCCAAGAAAAAGTGATACATCCACACTTATTTGAGACGCGATTCAA